AAAAACCACCATCAACTATATTTTTATGCCTTAAGCTCAGGAGTTTTTTTTTCACTGCTGGTCGGATTTGTGTTTAATCGCTTCCCTTGACAATGCCTGTAAACTGGCATTAAATTAAAATTTATTTAATTTATTTATTTATTTATTAATTCAGATTCAGACTGTCGAGGGAAAACAGGGGACACAAATAATCATCCAAGCGTTTCTGGAAGAGTTGCAGGGATGTAGCCTCCACGACTGACTGAGGGAGATCGTTCCATTTCTCCACTACCATCTGCGTGAAAAATTCAGAACGAAGATTCAGCCTGGACATTGTTGTCCGTAACTTCATCGAGTGACCACGAAGATTGGGTAAAAGGTGCCACTGAAACACGTCCTCAAAGTTAAGTCCATACTCAAGGCCATGTATTATCTTGTAGACGAGGATAAGATCACCTCTTTGCTGCCTGTAACACAGAGGGAATAAATTAAGGCAATTCAGTCTGTCTGTGTAGGAATGGCTTTTTAGACCGTTTACCAACTTTGTTGCACGTCGTTGTACCCGTTCGAGGCATTCCTGGTCCTTTACCAGCCATGGCCGCCATGCTTGTATGCCATATTCTAAGTGGGGACGAACTAATGTGCCGTAAACTCTCCCAAAAAGGTCTTGGTCCAAGTTAACGAAAGCTCTTTTTATTGCATGCAGCACTCCCATGGCGTTTTTTGCAGCCTTGTGGCACTGCAGTGTTGGTTTCAGGTTGTTCTGTATCCAAACCCCGAGATCCTTCTGTGAAGATTCTGCGGGGAGCCTTATGTCTTTCAGATGATATGTCCTCAGGCTGTCATTTGAATGAGAGTTGGTTGGACACGGATGAAAGATGGCACACTTCTCCACATTGAAATCTAGAAGCCATTTCTTCGACCACGCTTGCAGTCGGTGCAGATTATCTTGAAGGGATCTCTGATCATTCTGACCCTTAATGACTTGCCAGAGCTTGACGTCGTCTGCAAACATTATTTTGCCGCAGTCGAGTTCCTGAAGGCTGTCGTTAACGTAAAGGATGAAGAGCAATGGTCCCAGAACTGAGCCTTGCGGCACACCACTGGTCACATTCACCCATTCTGACATATCATCACCGACACAGACACGTTGTTTCCGACCAACCAGAAACGCCCTAATCCAGTTCAGAAGATCTCTTCGGATGCCGATGGCGCTCAATTTGTGAAGAAGACGTTGGTGCGGGACAGTGTCAAAAGCTTTGCGGAAATCGATGTATACGACATCGACCTCGAAACCCTCTTCTAGAGCCCTGGTCCAGATCTCCAGACAAGCTAGCAGATTTGAGAGGCAGGAACGTCCTCTCCGGAAGCCATGTTGAAAATCCTGCAAGATGTTATTTTCTTCACAAAATTGCTGCATAACGCTCTTTACTACAGCTTCCATCGTTTTTCAAGGGAGGCAAGTTAAGCTAATAGGCCTAAAGTTGCTTGCTGTCATCCTGCTACCTCCCTAATGCAATGGAACGAGGTAAGCTGTCTTCCACTGTGAGGGCAGCCTTTCGGTTCTCATTGACAGCTCAAAGAGAGTCGAAAGAGGCTTTGACAGCTCCGTTGATAGTTCCTTAAGTATTAGTCCGGGAATTCCGTCGGGTCCAGGAGACTTCTCAGGTTTTATTTGACTGAGGACGCGTCTGACTTCTTCGACGGAAAAGGCGAAGGTTTCAATGACGGCAATATCTTGGCGCATTTGAAGCTCCCGACTGTCCCGATCCATTTCAAACTGCTGATTGTCTTCTAGGGACTCCTCCGTAAAAACCGATTGAAAAAACTGAGACAGTAATCGCGCTTTCTGTGACCCTTCAACTACTTAGTTTCCGAGGCTATCTTTTAGACACGCAATTTCGTCCCTATGTTACCTCCTACTGCGAACGTACCCGTAAAACTTCTTGCGACATGTAATGGATTCTGCTATCAATCGACGCTCGAAAGAAGTTCTAGCAACCCGTATTTCTTTACGGCATTTATTTCGCTGATCCTTATATTCGGCGAGTGACCTTGGATGTCGAAGTTCCAAATACTTTTTCCAGAGTCTCTGTTTCTTCTTCATGGTCTTTTTTGTCGTCGGATTGACCCACGGCGGTCGCATACATGGTCTTGTCATTTTTCTTGGACAATGGGAATCAATCAGACGCTCTATAAACCCGTGAAAGTACTGCCAGAATTCGTCTGAATCTTCTGTGTGGACCAACCAGGTTTCCTCCAAAAGAGTGCGTCTCATTGCGTTAAAGTCACCCTTCCAAATATTTCTGCGCGTCTTGATTTTTGGTTGTTGGTTGGATAGGAGAGCGCACACGCAGGTAAAAGCAATATGGTCGCTTAAACAGAGTGGAGGTTGTGGATTCACTTCCTTTATGAGTCCTTCTTCTTTACTGAAAACGGGATCTAAACAATTCGATCGTTGTCCTTCTCTCATTCTTGTTCCGAATTTTATGTGCTGAATGAGGTATTAATTCAGGGAGGGTTGTAGTAGCTTGTGGTCAAATGACCTGGAAGGGGCGTTTGTTAGGGGAATGTTCCAGTCTATTCCTGGAGCGTTGAAGTCACCCAGAAGTAGTAAGTTCTCCTGCTTGCATAACAACTCCATTGCACTAAGTAATTGCATATCGGCGAATTCATTCGAACTGGGAGGCCGATAGACAACACACAGGTTCTGTGTCGGTAATTGTTTGATACATATCTTGCATGAAATTATTTCAAAATTTCGGGGCGCACCATCGGAAGTTTCTCGTTGACAGTACGCATTTTCATTTGATACATAAATAGCTGTGCCTCCTCCTCTACGGTGAAATCTGTCACAACGGAACAGTTGGTAGCCTTCAATTCTGACTTCGTTACTACTAATTTCCTCAGTCAACCATGTCTCTGTAAGGACAATTATGTGTGATTTCTGTTCAGAGACAAGAAATCTGAGTTCATCTAGCTTGTTGAGAAGACTCTGACAGTTAGTGTAATCGATTTCTAGACAGCGGCCACTGGTTTGAGCATTCTCAGGAGCTGGCACGTTTGCATCGGTTAGGCTGTCAGAATGACGGCCTTCGGCCAGAGAAATGTCCGTTTGACCTGAATTATTTGCCCATTCTTGATTTGTAGGTGTGTTTCGCCGCTGTTTCTCCGCTTTTCCAGCTCCGTCATCAGCCCTCTCATTTTCATTCGCTCTTTTGGCTCGTAATCCGGCTAAAAAACTTCAGGATGCTGACCCCGTAGAGATGATTTTCTCTGTAACAGGAGCTGGGCCTGTGCTTCAGTCTCCAAAATGACTTTTAGGGGTCGAGGCCGGGAATTTGAACCGGATGCTGACTGACTCTTCCCTATTCGGAATGCTTTGAGAACACTTAGTGACTCCTCGTCTCTTAACAAAGCTTTCGCATACACTTGAAGAAGGTCTAAGTCATGCTTAACTCTCCCCTTTGGAATTGTTGCCGTTGATTCGGGTACTCCTTTTATAACTACATTTTTGCTTGCGACTGAACCTAGTGCTCGTTGTTGTCACACATCTTTTGAGTGACTGAGCGTTCTTCTCCAGTTTACTAGTTTCGCTGGTTTCGGATGAACTAGCTATTGGGCTAGCGAAACTGACATCCGTGTACGATTCATTTATATTCCTGTTGATAACCCCTCCTTCTGTGTTTCCGAGGTGTTCGTCGAAAACGTTTACCTCAGTTTCTTTCGAAGCCTCCTCCTGAATATTCGGTCCACAAGGTGTTCCGATATCTTTATTGTTCAACATATTTGGGAGCCTACGGCGGTCCTTCGTAGGCCTCCTGGTCGTTCTCCTTCGCTGGTCTGCGTGTACATAGGCGGCCTTCGTTTTTTTGGACCGTACAGAGGTGCGCGTTGTTTTTCTGGAATGTTTCTTTGTTATCTGAGTTCGCTTTGGCTGGTCTTTTTCTCTCCTAAGAGACTGGCATTCACCTGTGTCTAGTTCCATCGATGAACCGCCGTCAGTTTCATCGTTTTATATGGCTAAAGAAGCCGTGGTTGCATATGTTTTTTTCGGATTGTAAATTGCCGAATTCGTCGGCTTCTTCTCTTCACGTAAGTGGTGAGTAAGCTTCCTTAACTTTTCTCCTTCCATTTTTAGACCTTTTAACTCCCCCTCCATTTTTGAAAACTTATGGATGAGTCCGAAACATGTGGTACAGATTTCATTGTCGTATGTGACATCCCCCAACGTCATTAGACTTTTTGCTCGTTTTACGGGCATTGGTCTGGCAACAGAACGTCCAACACTGCAGTCATTAATATCATGCGTAATACAGGATGTATTATTAGTTTTGACGAAGTTGGCGCGAGTTAGTGGCTTAGTGGTAACGACGCTTGTCTATCCGTTTTGAGGGCATTTCTCTGAATAACATTACCGAGTTTACAAGTTTCAAACGTTTTCTTAAAGGTATGAGACGAATTTTCAACCAGATCAAGGATATGAGGTAAACGACTCAGCCTTTCGTAGGTTTTGGGGATTGCTCAGTGCTGTTGCAGAGAGGCGACTTGACGAAGATAGGTTATCCCTCACAAGTCCTGGTGTGGTCGAAAGTAGATAGGTTTTCCGAACAAGACACCCGTTGAAATTCTGTGAGAATCGAGATATTGCTATTAAGAACCGAACTGTTAATTCCGATAGGCCGTTAGGGTGTCTAGGACTCAGTAGACTCGGAAAAGTTAAATCCCTCGGAGGTCGAAAATTTCAAACCGAATTCAAAAGACGCGCAACCGGATTGGATAAATTAGGGGAGGAATAGTGGACGCATACTCACAAGGCCTCACGGGTATCAAGACAGAGCGTTCGACGCGCGTGAGTTGAGGAAAGTTTGTGAGGGCAGCCGAGAGTCACTGCAGTTGGACCGGAGGTGTCCCAGTTCTAGTCGGGGGGGGGGGGTGGCCATGTGTCAACAGTTGTCGCGATCATCGTTCGACAGAACGGAGACGGAGAAAATGGGGACTGGAGCGGCTGCTACAAATGACCGCGTAATCGGTTTATACTGGAAAATCAAAAAGTCCTGCGTTTTCAGAGAATGACCTCGACTATGGACAATCCAGAATGTCCACAGTAATCTGCAGTTTAGTTGCCTAAATGACAGGGGGAATAAATCAAGCGTATTCACCCTCTCCTGGCACGACAACTGTTTAGTCCATTAACCATCTTTGTCGCTCTGCGTTGTATTTATTTGGTACGTCAATATCCATCTTTATCCGTGGTGAGGCTGCTGGTATTCCATATTCCAGGTGTAACCTCACAAAGGCGCCGAAAAGTCTTCCAAAGTTTTCGGGAGGAAAGATTTGAATGTACGTCTGATCCAGTGTAAAATACTAGTTGCTTTCTTGACCACCTTTCTACAGTGTTCTGATGGCATTAGGTCTGTGGTTGTCCCTACACACTGATCCCTATGTCTTTCTACAGTTTAGAACAAAGCAAATCTATTTCGATAGCTTTTTGCCTTATCAATTCGTAGGTGTCTCCTAAGTGAGTACTATGATGACCGGCAGCCAATTTTTAGTGAATAAATAGGCGTCCTCGATGGCATTGTAGCAACGGAAGCTATGAATAAAGCGGTGAGGCGCTGGACGTAATGTAGTTCTTGGGAGTATGAATTTGCGAAACTGAATGCTTATAGAGGTACTTGGGATCCGAGATATACGTCAGAGATTATGCACTCTGACGAGAGCTGGTTTTGTCTCTCGACTTAGGGTGATATTCACTACAATGAGCGGCATTTGGTCTTGTAGCTGACTGTCGGGGAATCACTTTGAAGTATATGCACATCATTTTTGTCAGCAATGAATCACCTCAACAGGGAACTGAGCTATTAATTTTATCGACCGACTCTCAGGGAGGAAGAAAACTGGTTTATAACGAGAGAATAGTGAGATATGTGATCACTAGAGTTTTGCGCAATGTCGAGGAAATAGGCAATCGGTTGACAGAAAATACTAGGAGGCACTTTGACGCAAAGGAGTTAGACTTGGACAGGAGTTTCAACCAGTCGGGAGCGCGTAAAGAAGTTGAGGAGCCAGCCAGAGCATCGGAAGGATGTCCTACAGTTGTGAACTTAGTGTTATTCAAACTTCAATCTTAAGTTTCATAACCACCATGCCCCAGATTACGCACGGGGGTTCACAGCAACCCGCAGAAATTGCGATAAGTCTCCAGTGGATACCACATCAAGTCACAGTATTCGGTGCAACCGCGTAGCCTACCGAGGTTCTATGGGGGTAAAATGCCTGCTGACGCCGAAAGTAGCGGGAGGGTTGTATTGCCTCTGAAATTAGCATTCTGTGTATCTCATTGAGAGAAAGAGAGAGAGGAATGCACTTTATTTTGAAATTATAAATTCTTTTAAAATATGTGGCGACATCCGACGAGGGTTGTTGTCATAGAGTTTTTAG